AAACTGTAGTCAATGTCATGAGACAAAGTGTATGTGAGCTGCTGTATGGAAAATGAATTTGCTCTGTAAACTTTCACTCAAACCACAATAAAAATTAAAAAAAAAAAAAAAGATGACCTCCCTCTAGCAATGTTTGGGGTCCCAGGTCACCCCTCCCTCTGCCATGCCCTCGCCCTCACTCATGGGACCTTCTTGATGGGCTTCTTGGTGGAAGCGGCTCGTGGGGTGACCAGCAGTGCGGTGGGGAAAGGGCTGAGCTCATTGTTCGTTGTGGCTGGCAGGCCGGGGGTGCACCACCCACCCCAGCAGCCCTGCCGCGGCTGCTGCTGCTAATGGCCTTGGTCAAGGCGGAGGAGGCCCGGCTCCTGCGGCGAGCCGGGAGGCTTGTGGGGTGAGCTGCTGCCAACCCGGGACACACATGGTTCCCCTCCCTGCTGCCCCCCCCTCCTGGGACAGCAGACTGGCTAGGGCCCAGGAGCCCTGTGTTATCTCTGTTTCGTTGTCATTCTCATTTGCCTTGACTTCAGCTGGGGTCTGGAGAGAGTCTGGCGCGCAGCCTTGGCCTTCTGACCTCAGCACTGCTTTCAGGGAGGCCGGGGCGCTGAAGCACTCCTGCTCCCACAAGAATGCGGCCACTGCCTGTGCCCCAGCCGGTCTGAGGCCACGCTGAGGCCCCGTGTCATCAAAGTTAGACTGCTGGAAGCAGTCCGGATGCAGCCAGGGGGACGCAAACACTGCCAGGAGGGCTCCCAGCCCCCCACGCCGACTGCCTGAGGGACCACTGAGGGCCTGGGCCTGGTGGTAGAGCCCCTAAAGCCAGCCAGAGCAGAGGGGCTCCACCACCAAGCTGCCCAGGCAATGGCACTCCCAGGAAGGAGGCGGCGGCCGGGCATGGGGGTACCGGGGTGCGGGCAGGCATAGCACACAGCTTCATCTCCACCCTGCCCGAGCCCGAAGCTTTCACCGAGCACATCCCACACACGCTGAGACAGAGGCTGGGAAGGGCAAAGCCGCTTCCTAGGGGTTCAGGCTCTCCCCGTGGAGAGTGGGGGGCTCTGTCTATCACAGCTCCACCCGGGAGGGCTCCTGGGCCAGGCTGGGGTTCAGATCCGCTCACTCCTTTCTAAGTCCCGAGGTTTGGAGGCACAGCCTGTATTTGTCATCAGGCCCCCAGGGGTCTAACCTGGTGGACAGGTCTGTGCCACAGGAGGTAGCTTGGAGAAGCCAGTGAGGCAGGGTGCAGGCTGGGGAGGGGCACCGGCCGGGAGGACCCCAGAGGGAGCTGGCACCCGTCAGGCAAAGCAAGGAGCTCTGAGAATGCCCGGGGGACCCCCGCAGCTCAGCGGGGCCGGGAGAAGGGGGCAGGGAGGCCAGGGCTGTTGCCGCCAAAGCCCAGGGGACCAGCGGCCACGCCAGCCCCAGGCCTCGCCCCTCGCACTGGCTCACCGCCGCCCGCCCGTCTCCCGAGCGTCGCCCACCGAAGGCTCC